ACGAATGCCATGATTGTATCTGTGGTTGTGATGACAAATTAGAGAGCTATCGGGTGCTGGGGATGAGATGAGACTAATACCTTCAAGAGTAGGAAGTCTGAGTTCGATAAAGGAAAGAGAGAAATGAAATATAACAGATGGGCTTTGTGACTTTAGAAGTCGGACAGAGTGTCATCTCATTTCACAGAGGATTGGATAATGTGGAGAAATATACGCGCATAATCAGGCGCGATCAATCAGTATCTCAAATTGTAGCGACTGATTCCCTCTGCTTATTATGATCGGTGGGGTCCGCCAACCCTCTCAAACACATACAACGACTCAACAAATTCACCTTGAACGTCTTTACATACCCAGGTTGTCCTACATCTTGTCCTAGAGTGAGCTCCGGGGGCCAGAGTGATATAAGCAAATATGAGAATGAAGAAGACCAAAATTAAGTGCTTATCAGCTCCATTTTTGAAGCCTAATTTGGCAGTCTGGATCTGCTCAACTTGAGCATTCTTCAACGGAGTCACGAAGTCCAGATCAATGAGATGATAAATAATACATTTTTTTCAGACATAAAACACATTCAAGACAGTAAAAAAATTGACAAATCATCTCTGAAAAGCTACGTACGCACATCATCTCATGCGCGAATTTCTGTTTGTAACACTGAAAATAGATTGAACAGATGTCTTTTATAATAGGAGAAGGAATTGAAAAAAATATTGCGAAACGACCGGCCAAAAAACACCTGAAGACAAAAAGAACGCTAAATACGCATCACAAATAACCAGACCGTGATACCCATCATTGTTGTACTCCGATGACTGGTTCATTGAATGAAGTACCAATTTGAGGTGAACTGACTTGACTAAGCTGACTTTCTTTTGCCTCTTGGATCGGTTTACCGTAGACTTCTTCAACCCTTCTTTCAAAAGCAAGGACCATCTTTTCACTAACACTCTTCCAGAAATATTCTCCTACAGCTGCATGCAAGGGACTAGCGAAGGCGAAGGCGAGTTGTAGGGAGACATAAGTTGAATAATCATCTCTAGTAGGAAGTGTCTTGGACGAGATCTCTTCAGGTGAGCGGAAGGTCCAAGTCGAAGTCAAGTATTTAAATAGTGGCGAGTCACCTGCGGTTGCCTGTAATCCCGTTTTGTATTTGTTAGCTCACTATATTCTAAGAATGTAGTAGATTAGAAATGTGATTCACTTTGACCATTTCCCATTTTCGACACTCTACCTGACTTGTGTAACGCTCCTCAAACGCTTTGTAACCAACCACAAGCTCTTGCTCGAGGAGGTGCGTCTCCCCGGCGTAACCACCATGCATCCATGGTTTGGCCTCGTGGTTCAAATTGTTCACCGTTCCGCTTCCTTTCAATGCTTTATAGCTGATGAGGTTTGATCCGAGACAATAGGGAACAAACTGTGGATACGCTTCTACGTCGGCGATCACAGTGTAGAGTTGTTTCTTGGAATACCTGCTCAAAAGGCAAGCAAATAGAAACATCTGTATATCAGTCTCTCAACGAGATCATGATGGCCTAGTCACAGTTGAAATCTTACGGCAAGCGCTTCGTCTCTTTATAAATCAAAACATCTCCTCGCTTGCGATATCGGTCTTGAGCGGTCAAGTCATTGACTTGGACCTGACCAACTTCATGAGGATTAGTTTGAGTAGAACGTGGAAATGAAGGAAGGCTGAAAAATCCCCTAGCCCCGTTGATGACGCAACCATGAGGTTTGATGCAGAGCTGGTATGCTGGTTTACCGCTCAGACGAAGGACACTTTCTATGAATGCCATGGATTTATTTGTGGTTGTGATGACAAATTAGAGGTCTATCGGATGCTGGAGATGATATGAGATCGGGACTTTGAAAAATAGTTGAAGGAATTTGTGTAAGTAACGTGGATGGACTGCACCCTCCCCTGATTATAATCTTCAAGCTCGCGTAAGTTGTGTGCCATTTAAGCAATCACGCATAAACAAAAATACCCCAACCCGTTAACTCAACGATCACCCTAAATTGACCCCAATGTGTTGGCTTGGCTTGGCTCGCCTGAGCTTATATTTGAACATCAGCGTGTCCAAGCGGTTGTGAATGTGACTGAAATGATAGGACCCTGGAATACACCCATGGAGGGTACTGACGGAGCATGATTTTCAGTTTTTTGCCTCTACACTACGCATCAGTGCCTCTATGAAGCTGCAGAGCACTTCAAAAGATGCGCATGGAGTAGGGCTATCAGATGAGACCAGACAGAGCCCGGCATCGTGTCTCACGGCGGCGTAAATCGCGATGGCGCAATTTTTTTTTCGACCTCCAAGGCCAAAAACCGACCCTCGATTTTTGGCCCTTTTTGGGGCGTTACATTGATATATCTTAGGTAATATTGGTGCTACCAGGCTGCGAGCTAGTGCATTTGAAAGCCTTCATTCTGGTGCATCTTTTGTGCTCCTGTAGGTATTGATAAAGTGCAGTTTAGTATCGAAAAACTACGTCAACAAAAGGTCGGTTTTTTCGTAAGTACCCTCCATGGGTGTATTCCAGGGTCCTGAAATGATACAACAAAAGGCTACATATGTAGGGTCAAGAGTTCTCCGACGCCAAGAATCGAATTAACTGGGATGCAATCACAAGCTATTATAAGGCCGATAAGCAAATTGCAGATCATCCCAAATCAGGGGTGGTGTTCTACGTGGATATATATACAGCCGTTTCGAGAAAAAATGTCGTTGCCCTTGTTTTTTTGTTTTTTTGTTTTAAAGTTGCACTACATAAATATTACTGGTATAGTCTACATATGAGCAGCTGTAGTCGATAATGTGCTAAACGTTGAAGATTGTACCTCATTGTTAAGCATTGAAAAAGCACCAGAGGTTGTGCATTGCGGATACAAAGGTACAACAATTGTGATCATTTGTGATCTTTGCACCCTTGAAAAGGGTGATTACAGATCTCATGTAGAGTCTACGTGAGTATCCATTCCTATCTCAAGGGAGTGGCAAGTTGGGTGTGGTCAATTCCTTCCAGATGTGAACTATCCTAGTTCTGGAAGTCTCTCTCCGAGTAGACTTACCAAAAACTCCTCAGGTGTGTCCTTCCACCTAGACTACCTGGTCTTTCCTAAGACCCAATAATCTTTTGTGGTGCGGGGATGGCCCCAAAGGAGGTGTTCCCTGAAATGAGTGTGTTGGGCTTCTTTCAAGACACACCGCCTGTGGGGCAAGAACGGCCCTTAGAAAGATTTGAGTGCTCAACCCAGGAGCTGTGAGTGGGTTTTTACAAAACTTTCTATGGGGTTATGCCAAGAAAATCGACTTTGCCAAAAAGAGTGCAGGAGCAGTGTAAAAGAGATGAGGAGGTAGAAGAGTCATGTGGTGGGCGCGGCACGATTTTGCCGCCCCGGTAGGGCGCGCCCATGAACCAAACCATGTGATCTATGACGTTTTCAGCTATCTCCCACCTTCAAATCATCTCAGATGAATCAATATGTGTTGTGCGTACCACCCCACACCATCTTCTTCCAGTAATGGAAGCATTTATGTCTGGATTGACAGGTACCCTAACAACAAAATTTTGGAATACATCTTCTTGCAACACATGTTCATTGATTTTTTATCAATTTGGTCAATTTCTGTTGCACTATTGCTGATGAAGTTGTTTATAGGGTGTTTTAATGAGAGTATCAATAGTTCTTGGGATGTAGAAGATGTGGTTGATGAAGCATCATCAAAAAGGTGACCCAATTTTGTCTATTTTTTGCGCCTCTTGCGCCCTCTTGCGCCCTCTTGCGCCCTCTTGCGCCCTCTTGCGCCCTCAGCCAAAATGAGGACGCGCCTGGCGCATACTTTATCTCAAGCTTGCGCCCACCACATGAGAAGAGGGTGAATTTCCCTCTTCTTCCATTTCTTTGGATGTCTTAACTACAGTGGCTCTAAAGTGCCACTTGGGTCACATCGTCACAATTGACAAAAATGACCCAAAACAAGCCCCAGTGAACAGGTGCCAACCCTAGCCAACCCTGTTTGGCCGAATCATCAGATTCTCCATTGCCTTCTCGCCATCAACTCTCATCGACTTCAGCGGAGTAAAAAAATAGTTAGAATTGTTCAATTATGATGAGCTCTAAAGTCAAGACAATCATGAAGCCCTATAGGAGTAATAAAAACAGACTCTGAAGGAACACAACATATAAAAATCAAACGGATTGATTTTTTTTTGACAATTTTATTGGAGGGATCCTACTATTTCCCTTCTATTTCTCTTAAAAACAGCTGGTCTTCCTAGAAATTGATGGTACTTCAGCTCTTTCAGCTAACAGACATATGTAGCATACCTTACTTGGAATTCACGGATTGAGACACATTTTGCTGGATGTCTGGCAAGAAATTGAACATTCACTGCATTTTTGTCAATGTCCAACTTATTTGAACAAGATGTTCAGATCCTTGAAAAGTTATCCTCTGCTTTTCATCTCTCAATCCTTACAAAAGTGATGAAGATTAACAAAATAACATGCTGATAAGATCAACTGGGACCTCGATGAGATTGAGGATTGCCACGGGTCTGGACATTGTCCAGGGTTGGCACCTGTTCACCAGGGCTTGTTGCAGGTCATTTTTTTCAATTTTGGCAATGTGAATCAAGTGGCACTTTAGAGCCACCGTACTCAACCAAGGCACAAAGTAAGGAATGAGTTCCATGAGCAAAGGTCTAGGGTAGAGAGCTAACTCTACAGCCTGTACAAAGACAATTTTCAGTCTCTGAGTTTCCAAATTCTGAAAATTTCCCTTTGACACTCCACACCCTCTAGCCTTGCAAGTTTGGCTCAAGACATTTGAAGGGATCACATTTGATTCCCATTTCCTTGTTTTTTTTGTACCTCCCACCCA